TGTTTTTATGGATCTCTCACAGTCTCTGTATGAGAGACTCGAACGATAAAATTGTTAATTCAGAGATTCGAGTCTCTCACAGAGAGACTAAATGAATAAAACTGAAAAATTGAGAGACTCGAGTCTCTCGTAGAAAGACTGGGATCTCTGAAATATGTTGAACTATTTTTTTTAAAATTTTAACCATGTCTGTCGAGACACCACTTATTGAGAGATTCGAGTCTCTCGTTCAGAGGTTCGAATCTCTTGTTCAAAGACTGGATACGAAATGGGGATCTCTCTACGAGCGACTCGAGTCTCTCGATCATCGACTCGAGTCTCTCGTTCAGAGGCGCTAAACAGTTTTTTTGACAGTCTCTCGACAGTCTCTCTCACCAGAGAGACTCGATGAGAGACGGAGATTCGGGTCTCGCTTTCAGAGACTCTGAGAGACTGAACATTTTTATCTCAGGAGAGGTTTCAAATCCAACTCTGAACCTAAATTTTCAATAAGGGACAGAACTAAAGTGAAATCCAATTATCTATAAATATATATGTACTTTGTTTAGGAAATAAAAAAGTACTTTTATAGTTTTCAGCATACATATTTTATTCCTTCAAATGTATTTCAGATATTTTACAAATATCAATATTTTCTATAACAACCAGAATTCAATTTCACATAAGAAGAAAGATCTAAGCAAAAGTTAAAAACGTTACTGCATGAAAACGTATTTTCACTAATTTCCATATTGAATAATGTTTTAATTGCGACACTTATTACATAACTCATTACTGCTACAAGTAAATTAGTTGGCGCCTGTGAATGAATAGTAAACTAGTAGTCTAAGAGCGCTCGTTCCTTTCCAGCATTACGTCTACATTATTCATTACTTCAATACCTACGTAAATATGTAGAGGCAAATTTTATTTGTGTATAAAAGGGTTCATTGTACATTGTCACCGCTACCTTTTAACTCGCGTATCGTAGATGCGGTTAATATTATTATTGAAGGCAGGAGAGGTTTAAGGATGGACATTTATAGGGACAAAGGATTGGTATGGTTTGCTGCTGGTACAGCAGTATTATGGTGTAGCAGGGAGTTACACATGACTTTAAACAAAATGGAAGCGGTGTAGACACAAGAGTATGATAGGAAAATTAATAAAAATTAGACAAAAATATTGGTATATAAGGGATATACACATAGGGATGGAGCCAATATAAAAGTAAAAGACGAAAAAGTGGAAGAAGTAACTGATTTTTGATATATAGGTATCCAAGATGGAAAAAGCGCTTCAGTTATAAAATTTCAGCATCCTTTGAGGGAATAGATGGGTGGTGTTTGGGATGAGAAAGATGAGACGTACGAAATGAAGAAAGAAGAGAGTGAAAGATTATCTGTAGAATATTACTACTTGCCTAATTGATCCAAGAAAACCACAGAAACACTTGGATCAAGGTAGACGGATTCGGAATTGAACCGGTAAAAAAATAAATTATTTAAAAAATATTTTTCTGTAGATAACAAAGTATGTTTGAGCTTTCAGCGTCAAAAAAAATTTCCAAAAACATCCCGACTCCACGTAAAATTACCTGCCGACCCTTGGTTTAAGTCTCTAGGTTATAGTGCTCGGTGATGGGTAGGTCACCTTCTCAAGTACGAAGAGCTGGTTAGAAACATTCAATGGAAACATAAACAAAAAGTTGTAGTAGATTGCTCTAGTTTTCGAAAAATGCGAATGGCTCAAGATAGAGAAAAGTAAAGATGCGTGTCCAACCTGGTCTCAGGGCTAAAGATCTTATGATATGATACAGGGTTTCAACCTTACAATTAATCAAAGACGAATTTGATTCACACGCAGCGAGTTACGTATTACCATATCAAATTAATTATCACTTATTGGCATATAATATACTTATTTAATACGTATAGGTATTGCATTAATAGTAATTTTACATAGTATTTTATTTTGCAGTCAACGAAAACAAAATATTTTTGTATTCCTCACAACAGAACCCTGTTAAATAATATCTCGCATGCTACATCACTAAATAGTATAAAACAAAGTTATATTATAAAAAGACTATTTCTTGGAATAGTTATTTTTTAAAGGTGTAAGACTCAATTCTGACCAATTCCAGCATGCAGCATTCAAATATCACATTGATTTTGCTATAATTTCATGAATGTTTCGACTTTTAATAGCTTTCTTATTTCAATCACCATCCATCTATTCCCACTATTCCTTATAGAAAGCTGATAAGATCCTTTCCGCCCTTCACCCTGTGTAGCTCGGAGGGACTGCTCGCCTNACTAAAACTTTCAGCGTCACAAATACCATTATAATCCCCATTTTTATTTTTCATTAAGAAAAAAGTATTTCTAATAGCTCCCGCTGAATATGTTATAACTTAATACAAAACAATAGTACAATAGGTAACAAATGAAGCTAAGAATTTGCACAACATATACCAATACAGGAACCTTTAAAAATACTTGCTATTGAAAGTACATGAAAATGGAAAACGCCTAAGCAATAAGCAACGAAAAAGTATGTAATAAAAGATTTATTTATACACTTAAATAATAATTGTGCATACATGTCGACCCCGAAACAAGCATGTACATATCTATGTATAAATAAAAAAGTGACATATATACTGAAATGGTTTTGCAGTTGAGTATGATGCAACGATTTTATTCTTCATTGTTGTGTTATTGAATTTGTACTATGCAAGTCATAATTGGGCCACACAATCTGCAATGTTCTGTCACACGAATTGTTTAGATTCATTGCATCATAATCGGTGAAAGCTGCATGATACGTAGCAAACGCATGATGGTGCACTTTTAATATTATACTTAATAAAAGCTCTAAGACTGTTTGATAGAAGTACCAGGTACTAAAAACGTTGAAACTGGAACGTATGTCAACAGCTTGTTTGCTATGCTTTGGAAAACTGTGGCAAGCTTCCGAGTCAACTGGGGACTCATTATCTTTAAAACTTCATGGCCATTTTCACGAAGAAACAGGTTGGTCGCCTCAGCTGAAAAAGAATTTATTTATTTGAAAATACTCACAAAATATGAAAACAATCTAATCAAATCCAATCAAAGCTAATCTTTGAATTTCCCTAAAACTAGAATATCCCACAACTATTTGCGAACAGTAATATAATCTAGGTCTACCCCTACTCCTTCCGTTTCTTGCATACCAATATCCTTGTTTTACTTTTATTTATTTTCATACAATAGTGTTTTTTTCAATACTGCTTCCCTTTTATTTAAAGCTGTCTCTAACTCATCCTTGCTAGATGTTACTACTGCTATATCATCTGCAAATCTAAGCATACTACTCATTTGACCCTCTATATATATTCCTACAGTTGTACTGTCTTTATTGATATAGATCGCCTCTTCGATTTATAGATCAAAAAGTAGCGGTGACAGTGTGCATCCTTGTCTGACTCTCTTTTTAATATTTACTAAATATCACTCTTCTATCTCTGTAACTCGTCCCTACATTTTTGAGTATATTTAACATTTTGTTCGATATAACATTGTCAAAAGCTTTTACTAAATATTCAAATCCTATGTATGCGCTCTTTCCTTTTTCTATCCTTTTCTCTATTCTTACCCGTAAAGCTAGAATGACCTCCCGCGTTCCTCTATTTCTTCTAAACCCAAATTGATCTACCAAATTAAACAGGTCAAGTTTTGCAATACATAGTTACATCACTCCGATGTTATTGGTAAGTTCATTCTTACGTTATTGGTAAATTCACTTACGGTTAGAAATTTAGAAGGTTAGGGTAGATAAAAGTTCCCCCTCCCGTAAAAAAAAATAATCAAGGAGATCGAGCAGCATGATCGAGAGGAATAGAACATTCCGTAGCATTTTGGGTTCCGGTTCCGTCTACTCCTGTCCAAATTTTTCTATGGCAAATACTGGGGCAGTAATATTCCAAAGATAATCTTACTCTTTTCTATCTTCATTTCTCATATTTAACACCCAGTCATTCCCACGAGTCTCTAAAGAAGGTATTCCGCCCTGCCCTTCGACGTAGTTCGGAGAGACTGTTCGCCCAGCAGTATTAGCAGCTCGTGAGAGTTAAACACCCAAAGTTCAAAGTTTCTTTCAAGAAGACGCTAAACTTATGGTCGGAGAGTAATATGTTCTAAACGATAGTGACAGGAATGAATTTGGCTTTACCTTTTAATATAACGTACGAATTTTTAAGATCCCCCCTCCCCTGTAATTAAAGACCTGTAGATCTCACCTTCTCTGTAAGTTATACAGTATGATACTCCAATTTTTGTGAAATTTAGGAATATTAATTTTTTGGAGTGTTTTTGAACTAGCAATATACAAAAATTAAATAAATATAAAATGTACAATTATTTTATACTCACTTAGAAGTCTGTTGTTCCCAAAAACTTTAGTCACACCCATGTTAACTTTACCCACCAAGAGATCGATGTTGAGACTGTCGACGTTCAAGTACCGATTATTATCGCTCTTGGAATTAAAACTTGTGGTCCCTTTCACTGTTGCCAATATATTTTCTGAAATATCAAACAATTTGAAAGTGAAATACACAAGTTTTATCAAAACCTGAAACGTACCAAACTTTGCGTGAAATGTTCCATTTCCACTAGCTGGAAGGATGATAAGAATCCCTGAACTTCTGTATTTTGAATCTATCCTCAAGCTTGGAATTCTTATTTTACCTTCGAAAGGTTGATTCTTTTCTCCTAATCTAAAACAGTTTTCCTACTTTATACAACAACTGTTTTGAAAACATGAAAACCAAAGACTTTTAAAGTATGTACTATTAACCATTTACATTAAACTAATTACAAATTTCTTTGGTGATTGTGCAGGGTATCTTTCAGTTCCTGATTTACCACATATCGACGATTGGAAGGTTTATCTGATTCAGAGAGATCTTCCGAAACTTCCAGAACCATCCTCTGAATCGGACAAACCTACAGAACCATAGCATAACCTACAAGGGGCCAAGAAAATATTCTTGTCTCTTTAATAAACCATTAATAAAATTTTTAGGACGATTTTAAGTTGGAGCCCCACTTCTGCACAATAACCTACTGTACCATCAATTTCACCTGAATGTATGAGACGGCAAATACTCAAACTCACTTACAAATGCCTTTATATAGCTTCCAAAATATCGTTATGGCCTTAGCATGATTTCTATTACAGAATTACAAATATTAAGTTTCAATTATCCTTACAGTGATAATGTAATGATGGAATGATCCCAAGCATATCAATGCAGTTATGATTATTTAACAATAATAATGTAATAACTACCTTATTTTAGTAACCGTGAAGTTACTTGCTCCGTAAATGTCTATATCCGCGAGGGTCACTTTGAAGCCACTGGGTCCACCAGTCAGAGACAACGAGAGCTCGTCCATACGAAACGGTTCAACTGAAGGTAGCTCGATTTCCGTTATTCCAGTGGCTAAATAGGGCCGTAAATGATGAAGGGCACTTATGAAGCACTCCATCAATTTTGGATCTGCCTCGTGACATTGCTTCACGTACGGTGCTGTCAAAGAAACGCATTTCAAAAGGACAGTTTTAACAATAAGTGCACCGCTGACTCTCGTTTTAATTTCCAGCATTAAATTAAACAATTTACTAGCTATTGTCAAAGTAAAAGATGTCAAAAAATGACGACAGAATATGTGACTCATAATTAATGTCATTTATTATCTACTTTAATAATAGGATAGGTACGTATTATAGGGCTTAGATGGTACCTAATAAAATTGTATTAATAAATATATAATTCTTATTTATATATGTAGTCAAACATGTACATACACTGTATTAAGGGAAAAAGTTTGGTTTACTACGTAATAATTCCAAGTAGAATCGGTTTTTATCGCTGAGTTAAAAATTGTGTTTCAAATGTCGTATCCTTTTATCCTGTTAAGTAAGTAACACGAACCCTTTACAGGACTGTGAAGTTCTAGACCATAATATTTCATAATCATTTCTACCTTCTTCTATCTTAACTGACAAAGGAACTACAAAATGATTCTAGGATTTCCTTTCTCATTATGAGATGCAAAATCCAAAAAATCTATAAGTCAACATCCATATGATCATCATCGTCATAAGGTCGTCAGTCCTAAGACTGATTGGATACGCACTTCCAATCTTTCCTATCCTGAGCTAATCTTCGCATTTCCCCAAAACTAGAACATCCGACGTCCTGAACAGTAATCTAATCTAAGTCTATTTCTACTCCATTTAGCTTCTGTTTCTGTTTCCAATATTTCTTTAACTAGTCCTTCATGTCTGAGAAGGTATCCTACCAACCTATCTCTTATTGATTTCTACAGGGCCCTCTGTTCTCTTACTTTTTTCAATTCCTGCTCATGTCTTACCTCATTCGCGGTATTCCCATTCGCCCGTAACACCATATTTCAAACGCTTTTAACTATTTCTTTTCTGTTCCACCTAACGTCCACGTTTCGCACCCATGCAAAACCGTGCTCCAAACATACACCTTTAACAATAATTTTCAAATTTCTAAATTAACCGTTCGTGAGCATTGAAGTAACTTCTTTTCATAACAGCCGACTCTACCTTGCCTTTCCTCTGTTTTATATCTCTACTGTTCCTTCCATCTTGAGTTATCTTACTTCTCTGATATCGAAAATCAGCCATGTAATATAAAAACTTTAATGAACTATCTTCAGAAATTTGCAAACGAAATACTAACATTTTAAATACTTCAATAAACCAAAATGGTTCGAGAATTTAACATCTAATTTTGTAAATTTATTTGAATTACCGCTAAGAATTCTTTTGATGTTAAAACTTTATAAAACCGATCTTATTAGACTCGTAATTGCTGATATGGTAGCTTATATTGACATAGAAACATTTCAATAGAAACAGGTTACTCGTTGAACTCATCGTAGAAGTCTCCAATGATCAAAAATAGTCCTACCGAATTGTGAATATTAAAATCGACAACTATTAAAAATTTATAACATAAACTACTTTATACCTAAAAATTCCTAATAGAAAACCTTAATGATAATAAAATTAGTTCACGATAAATTTGATAAGATAGTTTTAAAAAAAGTGAAAAGTTAATTTTTCAAATTATGTAAGTTTTCGCTGATAATTCATTACCAAAAATGATGAATGATGAGTGTTACGTGTTAAATGTTCCTTTTTAAACATTACATTATATTTTAAGTCCGTTAGGAACCTTTTTTTTATTGTTTTAACTATTATACAACTAGTAAAAAATTTATTGTCATATCACCGTAAATGAAATTTTAGTAATGACTACCTTAATAACTAAAAACTGCATAAGTTAAGTACCCTAAAATGCAGTTATTCACCCAATTTTACAAGAGTATTATAGTGTAATTTACCCTCTCGTTTTCATTTTTTTTACAAAAATTCAAGAGAGACGCTTGGATTATGATGATGGAAATTTCTCACACTGTTTCTTGTTCGTAATTTTAGATATATGGGTGAGAGCAACTGCCAGAAGTCTCTAAAAATTTCCACAGTCAGGGTGAACAATATACAAGCAATATTTATATTTATTTATAAACAAACACGGAAATTTCCAACGGTCCTTACGTAAAGCATTTCTCGAATGTGAACAACCGTAGACACGAGATTTTAAACAATTAAAAAGGAAAATTTATTTATTTGTTACAACATTAACGAAAACCGTAAAACGTCTGCGGTCAGATGCAGACACACAGGTACGTATTTCATGACCCACTTTTTGAAACGACAATTTGTTGTCGTACCATACCGGTACCAAACGTCCGTTTTAGCAACAGAAAAGTTGCATTTAACTTCCCATTCAGGCTTAAAGTTGGACACACACAGTATGCGGTACATTTCGCGACACCAAGCGACATTTGCCAAAAATATTCTGTAAATATTAATTTAGGAAACGTTACTCAACACCTTATCAAGCAAATGGAATTGACGTTCGTAGAAAACAAAGGTGGATAAAAGACATACTTAATATCTTGATATAAATTTGTATTATAAAAGTTTAATTTTCCCAAAATGTATTAGTCGCAGATAGTAACATCCTCATATTGGACGAAAGGAAATAAAATTTTTCCCATGATGAGCCGACAAAAAATATAGTATTCCAATTTTGAAAAGAACACGTTTGCGTTAATAGTGGAAATAGTAAGCCATTTCTTCCACAAGCTATGTGTGAAAATAGCACACCTCTGTTTTCGGTGATATTCAAAATGGCGCAGACCACTGCAACAGCCTATTTATCAATTTAGTGCGAATTTTATGGAAATTGATACATTTTAGACATAACAAAGTGGTATTTAAATTTAGCGAGAAATTCAAAAGTGCAATAATAAATGGGACATTCAATTTGAAAAAATGAAATCAGATTGCCTCCAAGAAAAATGGGACACTCCGTATCATCAGAAACAATTTTATTAAATGAAGATACGTATATGGTACCACTTTTGTAAGAAACTGTTTTTGAAATCTTCAACTGTAAAGCAGTTATTAAGGAAACGCTCTTGCTTGGGACACCCTGTACATGTTTTTTTTTAAACATCCCCCACCACTTGACATCTAAATAGCGGACGACGCGCATACACCGCCTACCGCAACCGCAACCGCACTGTGTGGGTTCTGCCTTAACATACGTTTGTGACGTAATTTTGCAGTATAATTCATTAGATAATCGTCTTCATTTTGAAACCGTGCATTACGTAACAGGTAGGTAGTAGGTACATGTTTATACATATATGTGTGCAATAAATGTCAACGGCCCCTCGGAGCTTTCTAACATCTTCCATCGCATGGGCAAAAGTTTATTTAACTGCATGCTCTTCTCGGACATGCTAAAACGAAAGTTGGATGCAGGGAAATAGTCACTTTTATGCATCCATTTCCGCACACGAGTAATTATAAAATGCAAACATGTAGATTATATAAATGCCGGAACAATATCTATAACGAAACCTGCTTTGAGGAAAAGAACAAACGTTAGCAGTAACTGGGATGAAATTGAATAAAGGAACAATTACGATTTATTTTGAAGAAAATACTTCAAAAACCGTGTCGAATTAATTGTAAATGAAGATTGTTTTTATACGATTTAATTTCATCTAAATAAAAAAGATTGTGGGTAAAATCCGATCACAATGTTTGATCGCTGGACAAGAGTAATGATATACACGATCAGTGAAGTCTTTTAAAGCTCAATTTAAAAATAAATTAGAGCTATTAAGAATTCTTTCAGTAAATGCAATCTTTGTTTTTGTAGTTTTTAAGAATAGCTCTGTAAATAATCAATTACTAATATTGCACTGTTATTTTCACGCATAAACATAAAAATCATTTAATTCAGTGGTTCACCATTGATTTTAAATAGTATTCTTTCGGTATCAAATCTGCTCAACAAAGCGTTACTAAACGTACGCAAACAGTAACAGAATCGGTTGCAAATTTGCCAATAATCTGATCTAATTTCATGGTTAATAGTTTCAGTGTACATGATTAAGTAATACAAAATTGAAAGACCGAACTATTTAATCACAATCACGTACTAATTCCATTCTTCTAGCCCTCTTCATCAATTTTTGCATTACATAGAGACGAAAAAGAAACGTTATGTAGCGAGGCGGCTGGTTAGGGTTAATTGCTACTGATTAGTGTACGATGTATATATGTACTATTATTTCTTAGAAAATTCCGTTTTCAGTTTCTACATGAATTATATTTGGTATAATATTCCATTAAAATTAATACCATACATAGATATAACTGAAACTACTTAAAAAATCATCATCAGCAGCTTTCTTTGTACCTAACAGATTACAGTCGGTAATAATGATTTGAAGTGAAAGTGGTAATTGTAGAGGGAAGGTTACAACAAAAAAAAAAACTTTCGTTTATGTATACTTTACACGGATATTATTTGTAAATTATTGTAATTAACCATTTTTTTATTGTCTTATGTAGTTATGTTTTATGTATAGGTACTTGTCATGTTAACAAGAACAACTAGAACTGTTATTAGATAGTGCAACCATTAAAAAATAGTAATGGCATTGTAGTCAACCACTTCATGATAACTAGACATTTTGTCACTATTCAAAATACAGTCGAACTCGGTTATAACAGGCATGGATTATAACAAGCGCTTGGTCTTAACAAACGAAATTTAGAGAACAAAATTTCGTTCTATACAAGCACATGTTATACATACCTGAATAGCATGACGAACATATTTATAACGAACGTTAAGCTTTAGCAAATGTTCAATCGGTTATAACGAACTAATATTTTGTAAGATCGGTCTAACCATCCTCGAATATGACTTCATAACTCTCATATATTGTTCTAATAACGAACTTTCTATATTGCAAGCCTTTGACAAATTGTATGATTGTATAGAGCAATAAAACAGGTTCAAAACAAAATGGCTACTATTTTGCAGTATAAAATATAAATTATACAAATACATGCGGGCACTTAAATACTCATACATATTTTAATTTGTATTTAGCAGTTTTC